AATATATCGAATGATATAGTTTAAAGAAAAATGATACGTGATTATGGAATGGGAAAAGTAGATAATAAAATAGTAGGATTTTAGAATGAGAAAGAATGTACTGAATGATCGAATGAGAAAATTCTAACGTTGAATGAAATAATATAATTGGGATCGTTTAGTTCGAGAAATTGACGAAATTTATATTGAGCGCAAAATTAAAATTGTGTATTATTGAAAGGTAACATATAAAAGGGTAGAAAAGAATAATACTGAAAAAGGAAATTTTCTGGAACAATATTTCATCAAGGAAAACTAGATCCATGATAAAGCATGTCTGCAAATTCACTAGTCGTTTCTTGTCGTTCAGTTAATTGAGAAATCCTCAAAAGAGTATCCATACGAATATTATAGTTTGGATTCATAAAATTTACACGATTCGCTAAAGTTGTGAATTGACTTCGCTGGGAAACTGGTAAAAGCGACCAAAAATGGTCCGTCGCAAGATTAATTATATGTCGATAATGAAAATTTATTCTGTTGGCCTCAAGTATCACGTTTCTTTTCAGTAATATTTTACCCGTCATTCTTCGATAATTTCTACCGCGCATCACTGTAGCAATGAGGATTCGCACATATTGTATATCGGGGACAATAATCGTATCATAATTTACTTGTGTCAAAAGATAATCAAGATGATTATTCATTTTTAGAAAAGCAATTAAAGAAACATTATGCTTTAAAATTCAAGGCTTGATATTTATAATAATACTTACTGTGCAACATATGACTTGGAATGTGTATTAGCTCACATTTCAACTCTCACAGATTGTAAGCGGGCGTTTTGTAAATTCGTTATATTACAAAGAATTTTTTTATTATTTCAAACCAAATAGCATGATTCTATGATCGATATGGCTAGTATTTAAAAAAGAATTTAACATGATAAGCTTTTAATTACGTCAGCTATGGAAATGACCGAGTTTTGTAGCGCCCAGGAACAGATTTCGCCAAAGATTTGATTATCTTGAACTTTATTTTCCAAGTTGCTTTTAGAACCACTTGAAGGATATCGTGTTTAATACCAATATTATTAATAAAGAAAGTTCAGCAAAATTGCTTTTTGAGTCTATTTATTAAAATCGTGATCTCATTCAACCTATTTTTAATTATTGATTAACCACTTGTGTCCTTAAATGGTATTGATTCATTAGTAATAATATCGATATAACAATATCGATTTAGCATTATTTCATTTCCTCTGCATATGAACTTGATAATCGGTAATCGAGATTTTCCGAATCAGCAATTAATAAAAATGCAATTCCGGTTAGTAGCAAATCGATGTACCTGATAAATATAAGCCCGATTAATTTTGGCCAAGATAAATATTATAGATCAAATGTTAAACGAAGGACAAGTATTTTCTTTGTAACGTATTCGTATAACTTTAAGAAATAACTCATTAACTATTTTACCTAAAGATGCAGGGGGGATTATTTTTAATGGTCGCAAAAGTGATTTAAGATGGATTATTTCATCTATTAATCGTAGTTAATATTACAAGGAATCCTTGTAGCCTTTTTCCGGCGTTGATCAACTTCAAAGAAATACATCCTAAAAAAGTGTTAAATAAGTAATTATTTATAATTTTGATCGTCACTTTTGCTTTGTTCACTTTCTAAAAATGAAATTTACCATTATTCATACCCGGAGTCTGACAAAATTATTCAATGACTCGGGTAACTTCTCTAATGGGAAAGGCATCTTAAATTTTTAATTGATAGCGCTTTCACTCACGACAATGATGTCGTGAAATTTAATTAGGCCGGAAATATTTTTAAAAAAAACTAATGTTCTGTGATTTCCATTAATGCTATGCACTTTATTTGTAATTCCGTTTTACTTCTTCATTGCTAAATCAAAAATTTTTTTAACTTGAGAAAAAAAAGGTCTACGGAAAATGACTAGTATACTGTAAATGATCGACATAACCAACATTTAACATTCATTGGCGACTGGACCAATTTCACAAAATAAAAATAATTTTATCATTAGTTTCAAAAAATAATTCACTTCTCGTACTTTCTTAGAAATAAACGGTTAATCTAAATTTGAGTTTTCAACTCGAATTAATTAACTTGCACATTACTAAGAATTCCTGTTCCATAAATTACAATTGAAAACATAATTAAAGAAAGTTACTTAAGTTTTTCTGCTGAAAAGCTTAATTACGATTTTTTAAGCGTCAAAAAAGTACAAATAATTAAGTTGCTTGGAAATTTAATTAAAATTTAAATGTATTAATTAATTCGATTGTCTTTTATAAAGTATTGGTAAGTGTTGATGCTTATTAAATTCTTCCATGAGTCTCCTTTGTTAAAAAATAAACTGTAATTCTTTATGATCGTCAATGTTAATGTAACAATGTGAAAACTCTAAAAAATTTCCAATGAATCACTTTTTTAAAAAAACAAACGAAATGTGAAATTTTTTTTTTATTTTTTTTTTTGAAAAAAAGCATGAAGAGACAGTTATATTTGGATGAATTAACAAGAATTTATGATTAATTAGGAAATTTTTTACAAGATGATATTTCTAATACAGAAATGATATGGTGCGACAATGTGGTTGATTTGTTTTGATTGACATAGTTGAACGCGTACTCCCAATGTAACATGCGTAACGATCATTTGAAAGAGAAAGTAATACACAACACGTTATACAAAACGAGACAAAAAAAAAAATTCCATTTACATGCTGGTATTGATGACATCAATAATTTCTATTTGTGTCACAGCACCATTGAAATATTACTTTCATTCTTTTCTTTCCATTTTCTTATTTATAAAAAAAAACGACAATAATAATGACTAATTGTTTATTATTTTTTTTTCTTTGCTTTGAATGAAGTGAAAGCGAAATCCGACTTCCTAATAATAAGGAGGCCACAATAAATAACATTAAATAAATGTTGCCAAAGGAATGAAACCTAATTTAGAAATGGATGAATGAAATTGAAATCATTCTTTAAAATACAAAATTCATCATCATAGCATTGTTGGATTTCCTTTTTTCATTCAGAAAGCTGTTATCCAAATAGAGATAATATAACAAAATATTTCATCATCAATGAATGCTATTACTTTATTTCTTCAATAGGAAATTCTTTAATATAATTTACAGTGGCGATATATAATGAAATATAAATTTTATTATAAAAATTGAAGTAAAATTTTACACTTCATTTGAGTTCTAAAATTCTCTTTTACCATGTGCTTATCATTTATCATATGTAAATTTTCTTTGGTCCTCATGCGATATCTTATATGATAATTGCCGTAACGCATTCGCGTGAATGATATTATTTACAAAAACTTCTATAAACGCGCGTTGAAAAATTACACACGCTTATGAAAGTTTCTTAAACTTACTCTTTCTGGCAGATATATTCCTTCGGATCGGCTTTAGTATAAGGCAAAGAATCATTTAAGCGCCGCCGAAACAACTTCTATTAAAATATTTTTTTTTTATGTAGATTAATAATATGAAGGTAAATAGTATAAAAACATTGAGGTTGCTGGTTAAACTTTGACTAGTAAAGAAATTTCCAATAAAATTTATACATATACATGAATCCTTGTTAATTCCTAGTCAAAATTTGTGCCAATATTCTGAATAATTGTCATAATTGTCACTTCCAAGCTGCCGTAAAAAAAATTTTACATTTGATAGAAAGGTAAGTCTTTTTTTTTTATTGCTTGCAAAAAAACGAGGCGTTTTATTTTCTTTATTTTTTAGACACATTAAATGATCCTTTAACATTATTTGCCGAAAATTGGTGATGAAAAAATATTCTATTGGCGCTTTCCTTCACAAAGAAAGATTATTTTAAATAAATGAAGATTATAAATCGTTCCATTGTTGCCTATCCAAAAATTTACGTATAAATTTTTAATGCAAAACAAGGAGAGTATTTAAAATTTAAATAAGTAATAATACTGCAAAAGATTTGATAATCTTATGACTAATTCACTTAACCTTTTGATTTTATCACTTATTTGAGGTAAATTCATACACAAACTTATTATTCTTATTATTCGATACTTTCTGTTTATGATCATTTTTTCAAAGATATGATGATGACATAATAAATTCATTGTTCAAGTCCAAATTGGTTTTAATTAAGTAATATTGATTATAAAATTTTTTTTTTTGTTTACAAATATTTCATTTAATAAACAAAAATAAATAATATACGCTTCTTATTTGTTTAAATAAAGAACAAAGAAATAACCACTCCTTAATTGTATAATTTAATAAAAACTGATACTGCGGTGGACAATGATAGATTGTTATTATCATGGAAAAAAGTTTTCCAAAAAAACTAATAAATAATTTTAAGGAGCCAATCGCGCAATGTTAAAATGCATTATTAACTTGACTATTTCGTAAATATCCCTTGATATTTCATATAATATGGCTTGTTGTCCATATTGAGAGAAGACACAAAGAGATCTGTTTAATAGTTAATAAATAAAGTATATCGGTACATTGTATATTTATGTAAAAATTATTGATATGTATTTAAATCATTTAAAGAAGGAATTTTTTTCCTTGTAGAAAACACATAAATTTCTGTTGAGTTCGAACTTTCTAATATGAAATAACCTTCAATTATTACTTGGAATCACATTAATAATGGAATATTAGGAATATTACATAATGCAATTATAAGCATCGCCTTAAATACAATTTGTTACGTATTGTGCATGAGGCTGACGTTCCTATTAAACTTTAAAAGTTGATGCTTTCGGTAAATTTTGAATGAAGCCATAAAGTTAATGCCGAAACAAAGATTAGCCTTTTGATGTGATATGATTACCGAGCACGTGTAAATATTTCAGCAGTTTCAGTAATTATGTTTATTCACATGGTGGTGGCACGGTATTACCCAGAAATTTTTTATAAATACGGCTACACTTTTGAAATTTAGATGACGGTTTCATAAAATTATTCCAATGTCATCTTTAAGAATCAGGACACATCGAGTCGTTTCTACTTCCTCGATATTAAATTGCTTTTTATCACGTATTACCCGTAGTAGAATTTACCCGCCTTTCAATAGCAACGCTCGTATACTCGCAGCTCAAATGAGATATGGTAGAAACATTCGAACTATTACAGGAATAATTTTGTTAAAACGAAATGTAAAGCGTGAGGCTATTCGTCTGCGAATGCATAATCTACATATCATTAGTCTTGCAACGGACCATATCTGGAATACTTCAACGGCAGTTCAAAGAGATCAATTCGCAACTTTGGCAGCCTCTGTGAATACTATAAATCAAAATCATAGAGCGAACTTCATTTATAGAATGACTCAAATAACTACGCCACAAGAAACAAATAGTAGTTTTGGGAACGCCCTTTTTAATGGAAGTGCTTTTTAAAAAACATTTCTTAAAGTTGTTGAACCATCAATTGGATGTTATCTATTATACTATAATGTCTACAATTATTTTTCTAAACTTTACCTTCTCATTTCTATTTTACTTTAACTTCATTCTTCCTTTTTCCTTACCTTTATTTTTTGTATAGATATCTTATCTTTTCCTCCGATATATATATTCTTCAAAATTCCTGTCATTACATATTATTTTCTTCCTTTCTTTTATCATACCATTTTGCCTATACTATTGAATGTCATTATTTTAAGGCTATGTTTTCTTCACTTACATTTCACTTCCATCTATATTGTTTTCTTTCTTTCTTTTATCTTTTACATTCTATTATTTTTTCTTACATATTATAATCGAAATTTAAATCAATTATCGCATTAAATCGAAACTTAAAAGAATACTTGCATTATAAGTGATTGTATCCAAATTTTCCCTTCAATAACATTTTTTCGTAAACTATTTCCTGTAATTATTTCAAGTCGATTTTTACTTTCACAATACTTTCTTTCATTATATATATTTTTCCCTTATATACCATTCTTTTGTATATATTGTACTCATAAATACGTTTATTTATTTCATTACATATATCATGTCATTACCTTAAGACAATATTTTGCTTTCAATTAACTTCTAATACTTTTTTTTATTTATTCTTACACATTTTCTCCTTTCATTATTCATATTTCTTTTACATTTCCTAAAGCAATTTTTTACTTTCACTTTACTACCGACACTTTCTTTTATATTATTTTCTATATACCATTTCTTTATAAATTTTCATGTTGTATTCCAATTTTCAAATTTCCTTTAATATACAATATACATTCGTTCAATCAATTTTCATTTATTAAACAAATTTTAGAGGAAGATTTAGATTTCAGAGTAGAGATTTGACTGCATGATTGTAGTCCCTTTTTCTAGACTAGAAGTAGATTTCTTATTCCATCATTCCTGTATTCTTTAATTGTTTCCTTTCATTAGACATTTATCGTTTATTGATATTTTCCTGAATATATTCTTTCTAATTAATAATCAAAATGATCTTTATTTTGATTAATTTTTCCTTAATATTTATGCTTTGTCTCACTTTTTTTAATTATGTATGATTGAATCTTTTTTAAGCCATTAAGATTTTTATGAAAAAGATATTTTTAAGCTTTACATTATTCTGTAAATTTTAATGTATAAACAAACTAAGAATTTAAGAATTTGAACCCAAAATAAAACTATAATTCACTTAATTTATATTTGACGGAAACTATTTTTTTATTAACATGAACATAATGATTAAATAATGAAATTTGGTTAATTTGTATTACTCAGATTTATAATTGGTAATACTTGCTGTTTCTGTTGAATCTGAATATTCATAAATATATGGATAACGGATATGGTTAGAGATAGAGTTGTCATAAACAGTATGCTATTTGAAAGATGTCGTATTAGGCGTCCGCAGACTATATGAATTATGATAGTCATCAACATTTAATACTATAATCATTTGATGGCCGGTTCAAAGCTACTAACAACTAATTAATTTAATTTACCAGTTAAAGTTTTTACTTAACTATATTAATTTTAATCATAGCAAAGATGTGACATAGCAGCAAAGAATTTTATATCTAGCTTTAAATTAGAATGCAATAAAATCCATAATGTGGATAACTATTATAGAAGATTTTTTTTTTGTTTAAACATTTACCCAACGTATATAGGCCAAAAAGGGGGTTCTGGTGCAAACTCCAAATCTGCCTACGAACCCAGTTTGCTATATGATTTCCAATATCAAATTCAATCCTCTAGCGTATTTTGACTCAATTCTAGATGATGTTATCGAATTTGACTAGGAATTAGCCTGTCTGATACCAAGAATTATACTGTTT